ATCGTGGCCTGTTCGAACGCCACCACCCTCATTTTAAGGGTATGTCACCTTCAGCTGTATCCCAGAGGTTGAAAAGCAGGTTTGGTCAGGCAGTCTCAGTGGACCTGTATAGTTTGATGATCCACTAATCGTAGGCAGCTTGCCAAATACTTTTCAATAGTTTATCTTTACCGATATCCTACGGATTCAACGCAATAGGTATGGTTTTCATCCAAAGAAGCATCATTTCTTATATTCTACTGTATTTTGTGACAAGTAAATTTTAAAACCTCAGGTTACTACCACAATAGGAGGACATTTGCAAAAATTAACGGATAGATTGGCATCTAAAACTGCTACTGCTTTTTCGCGGTTGATCATCAATGGCTCATTATTCCAACCTTCACTACACAACACTCTGCGGCCCACAATCGGTTTCTATAAAAGAGGTTTTAAAATATGTTGAGGATAAGTGAAATAAACTAAAATCAGCGCCCATCTTTAATGCGTTTAATGCCTTTTGACCCCAAAATTACTGTTATCTGTGGAGTCTGCAATGCATGTGAGTCACTCTAGCATGCATTGAAGCAATGTAGAAAGATCAGGGTAGAGGACGATGTTACAATCTCTAAAAGTTCATCAATTTTTAAAAGGAAATATGCATGGATTTTTTCGGTACAATCGGATTATAAGCCGCTGATTTCCTTGTTAGCAAATTAAATTTCAAGGTGGGTTCTCACCCAACTGAACTTTGACTTCGGCATTTGATTTCACCGCACAGAAGACTCTGTCCCCTTCTCATACCGATGGCTAAACTGCAGCACATTTCTCGCACACCGTCGTCACTTGTCACTGTTTGCAACACACAATAGGGCTTTGTGGTTAGTCCTCTATAATTTTTCTCCCACCCACCTACCTACAATCCGCTGGTACTTTCAAATCCTGGGTATTGGAGCATCTGTCGACACCTTAACCTTTATTGTGGACATATTGGACAACGCCAAATAGGACACTTGGGAATTAGCGAATATCGTCCAAGGTAATGAAAGGCCGCAAGTCGCACTCATTTTAGCATTCATCCTGCTGGTCCATTTTCCTTGGAATAACCTATCGTCATTTTTATCACCCAAGACGTTTATCGCATTACCGTGCCTTTTTCTAAAGCAGTAAATGTTCTCTCCAAGAGGTATCATTTTTGTTTTTCACTGAGAACATTTAGGTTCTTCTTATAGGGGGCATAATTTGACTCACTGTTAGACACAGAACATTATTGCCAACTTTAGTAAGACGTCATTTAATTATTCTATTACACACCATAAATTACTCAAATGTTGGATTTACGATTTGCATTGAATTGATCGAGAATATTGCGTGAACAGACCAACCACTAGTATTTAGGGTTTGATAAACGTAGCCAATAAACCCCTACTTAAGTTGCTTTTTGTGCTTGTGTGATTTGAACATTTTGGAAAATCTCACAAAATCGCTTACATTTTTTACAAACAGATGTGGTTCCCAACTTTGTGCACGTTTCGTAAAAGTTAAACATTATAATCGCCGAAAGACTGCTGTCCTAACTTGGTGTAGTAAATTCAGTTTATATGATTACTTGACAGTCACCCAAGTTTCAAGAACATTTGTCCCATTTGGGCTTATTTCGAACAGACGGTAAAGCGATTGTGATGATATTTGGCGCGAGACTGCGGATAGTTTGTGTAAGACCGTATGGCATCACCTAATTTTGCCAGAACCTTTTACTTTCTTGCCTTTGTCAGCATTTCACAGTTGCGTGAGATAGATACATGCAAGTGTAAAGCCATTGGGACTTGATCATGGAGCCGTGCCACGCCTCATTGTAGAAAACGGCCCACGTTGTTATCGCCAATATTTTCTGGTGACTAGTTGCTGCTTGGTGCCCGGTGTTAACTTTTAACACCAGGAGAACTACATTCGGTCTTCAGACAGGAATAAAATGTTACCCTTTTGGTTTGATGATCTCTATGAATTGACACAGGGTTCCCCTTGTCGCAGCATGTCGCCAGCCGCGCGAATCCCCAAGTCCCTTTTCATTAGCACGAATATTTATCTTGGAGTATCCTCATAACCAGGTCTCGATGTAAGCGGATGTATGACTCACACATTCGAGGTACAAAAACACGCGCAAACCCCACACACGACACGACGACACCAACGTGGTTGAGCACTGTAGCAAACGGTTGTGTCCACGTCCTCTCCAGTCTTTTTCGTCCTCGCGGGTATCAGGGAAACGTAATCGGGCCAGGGTTAATTCCGTGGCTCCGGCGTGGTTCAAGACCACATGCCGGGGCACACAACAACGTCATGTCCCCTGGCAATATGTGTCTTAACCATGTCCAATTACTCCTACGTAGTCAGGCAGCTTCCACCTGACCAACGCGTTTAAATTTAATTAGATCAATCATTTCAACCAAAGCCTCTTTTCTCCCATTGCCGAAGCCTAGTTTTGAGGCAACAAGGGTGAAATTGACGTCTTGATCTGTTGCAGCCAAATTCAATTCTTTCCTGTGCAATGACCAGATTCAAATAAGTTATGGGGTAGTTGTATTTTACAAATCTTGGAGTTTTGGACCTTTAGCTTCGGTGTTTTTACTTATCTCACCTTGGAACTGATTCAGACATCACCAAAAAATAAAGGGCTGCTGAATATTCCGCCTGCTGTTGCAAACTCCAACAATGAGACTTGTTTAGAACTGCATAGTCGAGATTTGAGTCCGCAAAGCCGTCTGCCACGTGTGGCTAGTGAATCTTCCTTATAAATATTACAAGCAAGAAAAACAAACTAGATGCATCCATGTATTTTTTTACATAAAGCGTTAGCTGCTGGTTCTTAGAATTTGCTCACGGTAATTTGTGCGCTATGTGGAATAAAATATGCATATATATAAAGAGTTATTAGTAACAGGTAACTATTGACACGATCCAGGAGACGGCAATTCGTATCTCTGGCTTAGATAAGCTTCTAATATCTACATTAAAATCTGGGAAATGAAAGTCTGGAATGGAGCTTGGATAAAAGTAGATTAAGTGGAGTAGGAGAGTTGAGGGGACAGGTTTGACCGTGTCCAAAAGTGGGGTTAGGACATTCCAGGCTTACAATGTTTCATCATGAGTGCCGGCTGGTTCTTAGCCAAATGATGCGGAAACTGAGCAAGTGAATTACACTTCCGTCTGACCGCTCGACATGGGTTCACTCTCGTCAATCCCATCTCGGTCGATAAATTCAATGCTTTCGAAGCTGCTTGGTGAGTAGCCACCATTTTGCTCCTGTCCATTTCTCGATTGCTCTGGCAGATTAGCTTCCCCGTCTGTCTTTTCTGTCTTTTTCTCATTTTTCGCCTTGGCAGATTCTTTGCTTTCCTCGAGTTGCTTTAACTCTTTCCCCCAATTCTCCTTATTCTCCTTCAAGTGGACCACCCATGGTCGTAAAACTGGAATTTGAATCCCTGAAAGAATAGGCTTGTGTTGAGGATTCGATTGCCGCAAGAGATCAAATCTTTTCTCAGTATTTAGACCTCAGATTTTTTGAAAGCCAGGGATTGGAAGCACTGTGTACTTGCGTAACAAGGCAGTCTTAGGAGAATGTTATGATTTTGAAGCAACATTTTTTTAAAAGAGTCATGATTTGGTCTCTTAGCCGGTAGGTTTCGCGAAAATGAAGTAACAGATTTCACGGACGAGTTTACAACATTAACTGAAGACACTCTGATACGGTTATCTTTAAATAGGAGTAGGTTTGAAGTAGAAACTCGACAAATCAAACCTCGATTTAATTACCTTCACAACTGTCGATGGACTCACGTTTCGTTTCACCTTCATTTTCCTTTTCGCCGTCGTCTCCGTCAACCTTGGCGCCCACAGCATGCTCCATCATCTTGTCCAGCATGTCCCCGAGCACCACAAAAATTGGCTCCACAATGAAGTCAATGAAACCTGAAGAAAAACAACACCGTTTGGGCGTTCTTTGGGATCACGGTGGGGTTGTGGCTTGACCCTTGGTGATGCCGCGAGACTACTGTCCCAAATCCAGCCAGCCTTTCATCTGTTTAGTATTTCGATCAAACCGCCCGGCCATTTTGGGATTCGCAGTAGTGTTTGTGAACAGCATTAACTGACAAATGTGTCATGAGGGTTCCCTTTTAAAGTTTTTTTTTTAATCAAAAGTAAATCGATAGTGGTCCCTGCTTATTTTTTTTATAGAAAATCCACCTCTATAATCTAGTTAATTGAACCCTCCAACCGCAAACACTTAACCCGTAACTATTAAAAACCTACCAAACAGAGTATGATTTTGCGTTTGTTTGAGGAATTAAGAAATCGCGAGAAATGACTATAAGAGCATTTCCTGTTGCATTGTGATGCTAGAATCAATGTGCAATTATATCTAAATGTAATCTAACCTGATTTCTCATTTTCTTAAGCTCCATCCGTTTTATGAACCAAATTCACTATAAAACGAAGTTAAGTGACGGGTTTTTGATAGCTGAAAGGGCTTATTTGCGCACGTATAACTAAACCCATGTTAATTATTCCATACCAGGGATATCAAAGTGGAAAGCCAAACAAGACTGGTTAGGAGATTTCGCGCACTGAATGTTTTTTTACAGTAAAAGGTTTATTAACGGATTCGATTAGCGCATTTCAATTTAGTTAGCATATCCCATTTGTCTACAGTTTGCAGTACATTGTAGATTGACAGATGCTTAACCAAAAAAAAGGTTTTAAACGCTACGCAAATTTAAAGGGCTGACTAAGATGTCACACTCGCTCCGCACAACCAAAATAGGCAATGTTCTGTCTCAAGCTGGACATCACTAGTTTAGCCTACCTATTTGAGACTGCTGCAGGACCACCGTGTTTCGGTCACAAAGTGGGGAATATGGCATTCCAAGTTCATTTTCTCTGTCACCCTAAATTTAAAAAAATGATTAACGAAAGAGCCTTCTGGGTTTTTTCCTGGGTATCAAAGGAAAAGTATCATTCATTTTATTGGTTAGCGGAATTAAATTAAGGCAAAAATTAAATCAAAACCATGTGGTCCTTTTCCCTACCCTGGAGGTTAATGGTTACTAACAAAGAGCTGTAGTCGGAAGAATTACCATGACAACTGAGGTAGTGCTATGGCGGATCTTTACTACAACTTTTAATTGTAACAGACTTGCAAATGTAAAGCAGCTAAGAAGACTTTATAAATATGACTCTCGTTATCATCGTTAGCTGGAGGAAATGGGTACGCGGTACTTATTTCCCAGTGAGATGGCGACCTGTTACCACAGGAGCAATTTCAAGCATTCTGACTTTGTTAATAGTTATTCGCTTTTCGTATGTTTCAGCCAATTTTTTTACTAATTAAATGTAGAAGGAAGCCACTGTTTTAAACTTATGCCATTGCCTTCTGATCACAAGTGAGCGTATAACTGAACAAAAGTGCAAAATTCTAATGCTCATAGACAAATTGACTGCAAAATGCACTTTTTATGAAATAAATCTACTACCCAACACAAGGTATGGGTCAGCGGTTAGCACCAGCAAGTAGGAAGTAGTGAATTTACCTGTCTGAAGAACTCCTCACTGAGTAAGTTGGACCATTCCTTGTGCAAGGCCCACTCTTTACATGGGTGCGCTATGTCTGCACAGTGGACAAGTAATGAGAGAGCCTTCAGTTTATCGATTCTACAAAGCAAAAGGATCGATGCTACAGAAGAACAATAATGTCTAGCAATATTCCACTAGTTTGGCACAAAACAATCTCACTAGTTGAAACTTAAGATGGTTCACCAGTCCACGCCAGGCAGTTGTCAACATTTCTATAAAGGTTGTTTCGACAAAGGATATCCAAAATGTTGGAACCTCAGGCTAGTAACAGTGGTGGGCCTTGGTGAGGAGACATAATTTATAAAATGCGCCTCGTGCTGTCAACTTGTTAGAACTACAGCTATACTTTTACCACATTCTGCCCAATGTTAAGGCGTTAGATTCAAGAGAAACTGTCAGGCTCGTAAGTGCTTTATATGTGTTTATTGTTTCAAAGTTGTGTTTGATTCGCCATCTGTAGTGAGGCATGAACGGTCAGATCATATATTCCGAAGGCATATCATGCTGCTGTAACTGTTTTTAAATCAGAACCTGGATTACGTCCTGACAAACCTTTACAGTAATGAAACAATCAAACTACCGCGAGCACTACTCTCACATTAATACTCATAACTACAAGGCTTTGGAATGTACGTCATCACGCCCATTTTAAAAAGAATAATTATTTAGTGGGTACAAAAATGGGGGTTGTTAACCAGTCAGATTAAAAATATTGCTGAATGGAGCTCTTAAATGGCCTTTGTTTCTAAAAGTAGGAATGGTAGGCTGGAGTCCAGTCGATTTTACGCTGAGTAGATTTTAGAAAAGTCGAAATTGGCCTCATAAAATACCTTTGATATTTTACTCACGAACGCCTTGTCTTCGAACCACTTTCCATTACCAAATAGATAAGCCTAATCGAGGGCTTAACGTGGAAGTGTGGAAGGAATGGGTTAACATCCTAGAGCAAATGTTGCTGCATGTGTATCTTTGATGCACTGTCGTGAATCCTGTTTATTCAATCCCCTAATCCGGTCGCTCCACCTCCTACACAGGGTTCCCCTTGTCGCAGCATGTCGCCAGCCGCTCGATCCCTCAACTCCCCCATCATTAGCCCGAATATTTATCTTGGAGTGTCCCCACACATAGGTCTCGATGTTAGCGCATGTATGACTCACACACCCGAGGTGTAAGTACACACGCGCAAACACCACACACGACACAACGACACCAACATGGTTGAGCTCTGAAGTAAACGGTTGTGTCCACGTCCTCTTTTGCCTTTTTCTTCACCGCGGGTATCAGGTAGGCATAATCGGGCCAGAATTAATTCCGTGGCCCCGGCGTGGTTCAGGACCACATGCTGGGGCCCACAACAGCGCATTAAGCAGAGTAGAAAGGAAATTCGGAGGAACTTTGGCATTAGTTGCTTACATTTCAGGAATCGCTATGAGGTTCTTCATTATCTTGGCCTGGGAGAAGTGCAGAGACATGTCCGTGTTCAAAACCATGTCGATGACAGCAGTGCGGAATTCCCTAAATGCACAAAATAGCATCTGTGGAAGTCTTCCAGACACAGACGTCCAGATAGATCATGAACAAAGATTGCTTATGTAGTTGAAGGTGCTCACTACGATGCCTTAAATTCTGTTGATTTTTTAAAACACTTTTGTCCATATTCCAGCTGTTGCCGTAGTTTATGATTGCTGAACCACCTAATTTACCCAAAGAAATTTGGAGCACGTTAATGCATGTATTTTTTTTCCTCTGCGATAGAAAATTCTAGACAAGAACTGCCACAGCGTGTAGCAGTTGGCCCAATCTAATCCAACAAACAACTTACTGATATTGTTCCTTTGGCATTTTCTCGAATATGTTGAATTCGGATTCGCTAGTTATCCGAAACACCGCACTAACGTGGTAGTTTTCAAGGACATTTCTATCATTGTACAGCAAGGCCAGTTCAGTCCTTAGGAAAAGAGCGCACAATGAGGTGATACACAACGCAGCCTTAAGCGGGGATTAAACATTCACTCACTGGGTTTGTATGTGGAAATTGTTCGTTGTACCTGAGTGCTCAAAGTCGTGGATTAGAGCGGCATAAATAACAGCAAAGATGTCCAAGTCGGAAAGGTAGTCCTAAATGGACAAAATCACGAGGATTCAGTCATTTCCAGGTGTTTTTTTTTAAAACTGATGCAGGCCGATTTTATCCTGGATAAGGAATCAGCATGGTTCAAAACTGGTAAGAAATTCTGGCACAAACGCTTGCATAGATCGGTGCCTAGGTCATTAAAATCGCTGATATAATCAGGTATTATCGAATTGCGACTCACCCTTAGTCGGCTTGTGGTGAGAATGACATGACAGGTCTGGGCGACGTCTGTGGCGTGCATCAAGTTGTGATAGGGGTTCTTGTATTTGCTATACCCAATTTCCAAACGTAAAAGTAGGTTCTCTAGCTTCGTGCTGTCAAGCTGGAATGGCAAAAAATCAAGTTGAACTCACTCAATGTTGCTTTTTAGGACCATATTTTGTGAGTGCTGTGTGCAAATATTGACAGGTGGTTATTTAGTACACTGTGTGACTTTTGAGAGATTGGGCAGCCGTTTTTCAACTAGTTAGCACTTCAATCTTCCATGAAGATTTCAGTTTAATCGTGCACTTTATGACAAGACTGAAGTGATTATGTTTGGTTACAGAATGAACCTGCAACTTAAGGTCAGGCACGCGAGGCGGCATTAAGGTCAGGTTACCCATCAAGGATAGGCCAGTTAAAGATATTTTCACTTCATCCCCGTTCTACTCTCGCTTCAGATTTCCTGTAAACGTTTCCTATAGAGTCGACTGTTATCCTTTTATGTTCAGTAGGTGTGAACGGCCCCGTACACGTGTCCAGTTACGAGAACAGCATGAAATGCTCTTAATTTGCTTATTTAACTCTAAAATGGAGATGATAACTCACCTGGAATTTTGCGATGAGGTTGTACTTGTGCAGGAGTTCAAAACCGACGTATTTAAGTGCGTGATTTGCACTAACTTCATTGAATTCAAAAACGTTAAAATTCCATTCGTCAAGTCCACTCTATTTAAAGGGGAAAGGTTAACTGCAGGAATATACACAGAAATTTCTCAATATTTTCCAGAAACAGCGCAAGGGGCTACTTGTCCACAGTTTTCATAAGCAATTATGCATCGGTTGAGAATGCGACAAGATCACGATAATATACGACTTTTGCTTAAGTTATGCTCTAGTTGACTTGTAGTGGACTGACAGCCGCCCCGCGCCAGTGTGCGTGCATGAAGGCCCGTGTGTAGCGATGACTCATCCCCATTTGTTATTGATTTTTGTCAGCATTCGCCTGTTACGCACGCGTGCTCATACGCACACAAAGCCACTTGGCTGGTTCGACT